AGCGGCTGTGTCCATTTTTTCCATTCGTCCAAAGATATAATAAATCACTGAAACCANAATTATAAAGAAAAATGAAAATCCACAATGTTTTCTGTAATTTAACGCCAGTGATGAGCAATGAACAAAGCAGGAAAGAGTCCAGAATAGGTTTATGAGGCAGGTGACGATTTGCCAGGCATAGAAGCTCTGTAAAATCGAATTTCTGGTAGTTAGTCATAAAATTTAGAAGGACATTCGAAATTCTATACTCTAGTTTTTGAATTTTCGAATTTGCTCCATTTTGAGCCGAGATACAACTGTTTGAAGGTATCTGAGCCGCACCCACAGAGGGGTGTAAGGCCTGCCAACTTTAAAGGCGCATATCTCTAAAACTACAATAGCTACAACAAAAATGCGAACAAAAAAGTTGTAGAAAATTACAATTTATACATTTTACAAGTTACCATATTTTTCTAGCTATATTAAGTTTTGAGATATGCGTCTTTAACGCTGGCGCGCATCCCCATCAGGTGCGGTTCAGAGAGGCGCGCTAACTTTAAAGGCGCATAGCTCGCAAACTACAGTAGCTAGAAAACAGTTCTCAACTAGTAATATACGTAAAATTTTATGCTTCATATTTTCCTGGTTTGCTGTCACTATTGTAGTTTTTGAGATATGCGCTTTTAAAGTGGACGCACCTCTCCGAACGGCATAGGAAGACGGGTGGGAGATTTACCAATTTTAAAGACTCATAGCTCCAAAACTACAGTAGGTAGAAAAAAGTTGCTAAACACAAAAATATATAAAATTACGTTTTACATATTTTATTAGTTGAACACTTTTTTCTCTCTATCGTATTTTTTAAGCTATGCGCCTTTAAAGCTGGGGACCACCTCCCTCAAGGCGCGATGTAGAGAGACGCGCCAACTTCAAAAGTGCATATCTCAAAAAATATCATAGTTAGAAAAAAGTTGTCAACTATTGAAATGTGTAAAATAAAATTTTACATACTTTGCTAGTTGACGGCTTTTTTGTATCTTTTTTTAGAAGCGAGATAATTTGCTTCAAACTTTTTGGATTTTTTTTTACATTTTTTAATTTTCTGCCTTTTTTTGAAACCCTGTAATTTTTCAAATCCTTGGAATTTCAAATTCCGAGAATTATGACAAATTATTTTTTCAAATTTCCTAGAATTCCATGTTTTCCCTATAATTTTCATTTTGGTAAACAAAACTTATGTATACTAGTTTAAAGGGAAATCATTAGGAAAAATCCAAAATGCCAAGAAATCGAAAAAAAGATTGGAAAGCCCTAGAAGCTAATATGCGTATGGGTCCAAAAGTTTAGAAGGGCTGTAAAAGCAGTTTTCTAATAAAATCAGTATGAAAATCAGCTGTGGGACTATTAAAAACCTATAAAAGCGCCTCAAATTCATTGAAAATCGTAAAAATCGATGTTTTTCCAAAAATTTGGTCCGATGGCCTAGTGGATTTTTGGGCATGCAAATCTAGGAATCTCAACACCGGGGTTCGATTCCTCTCGGTGGAAAACCTTTTTTGCTTTTATTTAGAGTATGGTTTAGGGGCACTAGAAGGTTCTGGATGCTCAATATACCATATTTCGAAATGCTTCTAAAATTTTCGATCCTAAAAACTTCCTTTTATTTAAAGCAATATTGTTATATTTTTGAAACGATAGGATTACTGTAGTAACCCCAAAATCCC